TGCTTGGGATGGAATGATATGGACGATATCTTCTCCGAGGCATTAGGAGAGAAAGCAAACTAGAGACAAAGAGAAAATGTATTTGGCTTCCAAAGAAAATGCTAAATGCTTTTTCGTGTCATCTTCAAATGATTTGGAGCCTTTACTGACATTTGTTCTGCCAACTGGCCAGTTCAAAATAGTGAGGCATGATTTAAATGTTAGCATGAAGCCAACTGGTCCAATGCATTGTATCACCAAGAAGCAGCTTGTGGGAAAAAATTATATCATTTTGGAAAATGAAGTGCTTCAGTCTATTGGAGCACACAGTTGAGGTCTAAGAACCTAGTAAAGAAATCCTATTGAGTTTACTGATGTTAGGTCCTTTAAAACCTAGATCGGGGCTTGGCACCTTAAACACTCAAAGAGCCACAAAGGTCCTAACCGGAAGCCCCCCGTTCAATTCTGGAGCCAATTGGAAGTCCGGTTGCCCCACCATAGAGCCTTCTCCTAGAATGGCATCCTTTTTCCTCTACCTGTCCTAACCAAAAGCCCTTTCAATTGTGGAGCTGATTGGCAACAGGGAGCCACAGCAGAGGGACGAAAGAGCCACATGCGGCTCCAGAGCCATGGGTTGCCGAACCCTGACCTAGATTAAATAAATTCTATTTGAGACTATCTTCTCAGCCGTTAAAAAATGGGTCTCTATCGTGATGCCCATGGACTCTGAAGTACCTGCAGTGTATGAGTTATTACGAAATTATGCTGGCATAAATTGCACTGCCCTCATTAGTGCTCCCCATTCTGCTGTAACAACAATGCCAGCAAGTGTGCTGATCACCTTAAGGAGAACTACTTTAAGGTGTCTCATCTGTAAGCTGATGACATTCTGAAAAATTCTGTGTTTTCTAGATGGCGAAATCTATACTGTACCGTCCTGGTGAGTCTCCATTCTCATCAAACGAGATCATATCTCCAGAAACCCCGGTGAAATTGGACTTCATCAGCGAATCCAGGAGTTTCCGTCCATCGATTGGCTTCATGGCATCACAAAGCCCCGCGTAGCCTGGACACAGGGTCGTTTGCATGTTGTGGAGGCCATAAGCCATGGAGTATATCGCATTGATCACAAAACCCATCTTGGAATCTTGCACGTGTTGGGTGCCTAAGGTCAAATTACCTGTGAAAAAACAACAACACATAATTTAATTTTGCATTTTTTAATTTTTAATGTAACGTAATTTTGTGACATTGCATTGTGCGGCCAGGTCATACAAAACCTTTGCAAGACCAATTCTCGAATACAGCTCATCTGCCTGGAATCCACACTGTATATTGGACATTAATACAATTCAAGTCCAAAGATATTTCATGAGAAGAGTCCTCCTTTCCTCTGCTCACAATAGAATCCCTTATGCCACCAGGCTCGAAATTTTGGGCTTGGGGAACCTAGAACTACACCAATTAAGGTCTCACCTAAGCGTAGTAAACAAAATTGTCTGTTATGAAATCCTACTTGTCAGTGACTACTTCAGCTTCAACTGCAATAATACACGGGTAAACAATAGATACAAACTCCAAGTAAACCACTCCAAACTCGATTGCAGAAAATGCGACTTCAGCAACAGAGGGGTCAATGCCTGGAACGCTCTACCTGACTCTTGTTACATCCTCAAACCCCACAACTTTAACCTTAGACTGTCTACCATGGACCTTACCCCATTCCTAAGAGGTCTGTAGGGGACGTATATAAGCACACCAGTGTGCCTACCGTCCCTGTCCTACTGTCCCCATTTACTGTGTTTGTCACGTTCTGAGCATGCTCAATAAAGTTTTGCTTAAGCGGGAGATACTCGACAGCTGATTGGCTTACCATCTGACAGCTCCGAGTATAAAAAGGGAGCTGTCAGATGAGAAGCCGCTGTTCCGGTCTGAAGCCAGTTCCTAACTGTTAACTGTTACATTACATGGAATAAACTTTTTTTAAATTATTATTTTAATTTTATCAATTTCATATATACATTCACAATTATATGATCTCATAACTGTTATTAATAATATGTAT